TGGAGATAAGCAATTGTTTTAATTTGCATTGCTTGTCTTTCTTGGGTTGTATTTCTCTTTGTTATTTGCCTTTTAATTACAATAGTAGTAGTAGTAGTATATTTTATTTCAATTATTAAACTGTTTCTGTCTCAGCCCACAAGTTTTCTCACTTTTACCCTTCCAGTTCTCTACCCCCGTCCTGCTGCCAGGGGAGTGAGCGAGCGGCTGTGTGGGGCGTAGCTACCGGCTGTGGTTAAACCACAACATAGGAGTAGACAAGTAGATCATTGCAATAGTTAATACTAGGCACTCAGCTCTTTTTTACTGAAAATAAAATGTCCATGGGCATTTTCATAGGACAATTGTGTATATTTAATTAATAACTATGTTTCACTTCTACAAAACCAATAAATACTGGGGAGAGGGGTTTTTGTTCTAAGCACTGTGTTGTGAAGGCAATGTGAAAAACATGCCATCGTACATTTTGTACTCTTTAATAGTAAAGAAAAGACACAAAGTCAGCAGCAAATCCACCTTTTCCTTCTTTTCTACACTAGTGTAGTATCATTTGGTGTATATATTGGGGCCTAAGCATAGCCAGAGAAAGTATTTTTCCTATTCAGCATCCAAAAGAAAAAATAGGTGAATAACAAGCTATTCCTACTAGTATCTGCTGACATTTTACAGACCTATAGTTACAAGTCCAGAAAGCACTAGTACATTCTTAATCTTACTGGATGTTTTTCATTCTAACAGCATTTCATCTTCATTGTATTTTCCTTTACGCACAGTAAAGAAAATGCCAATAAAGAATACTGCTGCATCTCGTAATTGCTGTCCTCTTTCTGGCTCTGGTCTGGAGCATATTCCATCTTGGGGGTCCCCAGGCCAGGGCAAAGGGGTGCAAAAGCCTTGTCCTGGAGATGCTGCAAGTGCTCAGGGCTGCCATGGTACGGAACAGGGACAGGAGCAGCCAGCGTGCACCAGGTCTGACCTCCGAGGCAGCAGCCGCTGGGTGCTGGAGGGCAGCCCGACCTCGGCCCCACAGTGGAGTGAGCTGGGCTGTGACCGCCCGGGGAAACGCTGCTGGCACCGGGCAGGCTGGGAGAAGGACGCCAGCACGAGGAGAGCCCCCGTGCCGCGTGAAGGCCAGTGGAGCACGGCTCCCTGCAGCCCAAGGCCATCTGCTCCTTGTCGCTCCTCTCCCCAGTGTATCAGTGCAAGTTCCTCACGCTCTGCCCCAAGGCCGCTTTCCTCTCCACACCTGCCCCTTCCCTGAGCAGTTCCTACCAGAGATCAGCAACCAATGCCCATTCATCACATTTTTCAAGCAACAGCCTCATGGGGTTTGTTATTCTGGTTCTCCTGCTTGGAAACAGCTCCCAGTAAGCACCACGTGTCACCACAGCATAGATTCCAGGGACCAAATAAAAGGAACATGTTAACATTTTTTCTGATTTTTGGACCTTAGATCACACCAAATAGTCCAAATTTCATTTTCATAGCTTTACTGCTACAGAAATGGTGAAAGATTTTCAATATTCTGTTCTTTGACATATATTTTGGCCAGCAGCTGCAGCAGAGTGCAATAAATGCAGAAAAGTGATACATGTCATTTTGAAGTGCTCTTTGCATGACTTTTTACTTATAGCCAAGTGCAAATAAGTAAGGAACAAATACTCCTTCTTGCAGTTGCAAGAACAGGGAAATTCTCCCTGTAATCCCATCTCAGTGAATAATGTGTATGTTTGCTTAGAATTAGTTAGTGGTTTCCTTCATCTGCATGGTCTAGGCTGACCTAACCTGCCAGAAGCAAAGGCAACTCTACCTGGTGAAGCAAAAAGTGAAATAACTTGGAAGAGCTTTAATTTAAACTTCACTTGAATTTCACAATCCTTTGGCACATGTGTATGTGTGCACATGTGCATGTATTTGAAAATTTCGAATGTCTAAATATGTTAAAGTGACCCTGGACACTGCAGCTCAGCAGTGAACTTCAATGTGAAAAGCAAAAAGCACAGTTAAGTAGTGCTCTAAAATTTGCTGTTCACCTGGATAACAATGATCATTTCACAGCTACATTCGTATTGACGAAAATCATGCGATGCTGAGCAGCAGCATCTATACCTTGGGATTTCAAAGAGCTATTTTTCCTCAACTCAAAGCACAAGTAATCAAATAATAACCCAGAAGTGGAGTCTCTGATAAAAGGCCTCGATTTGCTATTGCGCCAGTAGCTGTGTGCTCATTAGCACTGCTAGATGGAATGTTGATTTGCAGCTTAGTCTGCAGTAGCTGAATTACAGCTATTTAGAAAGGTTTTACGTATTCACCTCTGAGGATGCTTTGACAGCAAGCCTGCCTTTATCCAAAAGTTCAGGATTTCATGTAAGATCATTACACATCTGGAAGCACTTGATTGACATGATTATGGGTTAGTTTTACTGCAGCATACCAATAGTGAGGAGCTTCATGAGGCTACTAATGCTGCCAGAAAAAGTGTACTGCAGCCCACTCAACAGCCTTGCTCACAGTAACCCAGCCTTCTGGGTTTGAAAATGTCACCACAAACTGAACAGCAGGTGTGCACCACATCTGTGTGCCAATGTTAATAATAAAACTGGATGAAAAGAATTAATGTAGTACTTGGGATTTTGTTTTCAGCTATTTTAAAACTCTAACGAAACTGTGGTTGACTTAATATGGCTATCTGACGGTCAGCTGACAGGACTAACTTTGTATTAAGAGGAGTCTTTGGTTCTGTTAACAGCCACCTCTCATTGCAAAATCTGAGACAGCAAAGACTCCATTTAGTTAAACGAAGTATGTATGAATTATGAACAAAATACTTAGGTGCATATTTCATGTCATATTGGTCATGTCAACTGCTGTCTCTGGCAGGAGTAAAGCCCTAAGGCATCATTGACTGACCTCTAAAGGAGAAGACTCTTTAAAAGGAGAAATTAACCTGAAGCATATGTAGAAAACTTTCTATGTGAAGATTTTTTTTAAATATATTTGGAAATAATTGATATCATTTCAGATTTCATAGTACTTTCCATAGGGCACTTTCCATATATTCCAGAAATACATCCTGGAACATTGTTTTGGTTTGTGCAAAATCTAAACATACATCCTAATGATTTTTAACTTCTAATGTTCCTCCTTTTCTCAAGAAATTAACTAAATTTTTCAATAAATTAGAAATATTGCATAAGAAAACTTGCAGGATGCTAAGACACTGGTAAGAAAAAGCAAGTGAAGAAAATAATACTAAGTGAGAGTAGGGGAAAACCCTATTGGAAGCAGAAAGTATCCAAACAGAGTTAAACAAAAATAGATGCATTACATAACTTAATTATTCTGTAGAATCAAAAGCATATTATCTACAACTGAAAATTAAATGGCCTTTCAAAATTGCCTATGCAATTTTCTTTTATGATTATTTAAATATGATATTTAAAATAATCATAAAATGTACTCGGCACTGGTGAGGCCGCACCTCGAGTGCTGTGTCCAGTTCTGGACCCCTCACCACCAGAAAGCCCTTGAGGTGCTGGAGCGAGTCCAGAGAAGGGCAACGAAGGTGGTGAGGGGTCTGGAGCACAAGTCTGATGGGGAGCGGCTGAGGGAGCTGGGGGGGTTTGGTCTGGAGAAGAGGAGGCTGAGAGGAGACCTGATCGCTCTCTACAACGACCTGAAAGGAGCGGGGAGCCAGGTGGGGGTCGGTCTCTTCTCCCAAGCAACGAGTGACAGGAGAAGAGGGCATGGTCTGAAACTGCACCAGGGGAAGTTCAGGCTAGAAATGAGAAGGCATTTCTTCACAGAAAGGGTCATTAGGCATTGGAATGGGCTGCCCAGGGAGGCGGTGGAGTCACCATCCCTGGAGGTGTTTACGAAAAGACTGGACGTGGTACTCAGTGCCATGGTCTGGTGACATGGGGGTGTTAGGGCAAAGGTTGGACTCAATGATCCCAAAGGGCTCTTCCAGCCATATCAATTGTGTGATTCTGTAAAATATTTTTTTCACGTGCAATACATTGACACCAATATGTACCTAAGCTACTAATACTCCAGCTGAATTATAATGATTAATGTAGGGAGGATTACTACCGGACAAATTCAGGTGGAAAAAAACAGATTATGGTAACTGTATAATCTGTGTTTCTCTTTTTTTTCTGGACAGTGACCAACTCAATTTCAGAATACTACATTTTGTAGTGGATTTCAGCAAATTCCAGGGAAGGGAATGGTTTTTCAGGGTCTTTAAATTTTGTAGTAACAAATAATAAAACAAAGGCCTAGCAGGGACATCATCTGCCCCACCCTCAGGCTCTCCCACCTAACATGCCTGGTGCTGTCTGCACTGGAGGACAACCACAAAACACATGTGATAGCATACAGCTGTCACCGGGGACAGATCGCCAGTTAAGCGAACATGGGAACATGGCCCATCTGACACACACAGCTTCATCGCCCCCTCAGAAGCAGCAGGACACTCTGTAGAGGGTGAAAAGAGATGTAGCTGCTCAACCTGAAGGCATTACAGTCTGGAAGCCTGTATTTTACAGAAGACTGACGTCCCTACTCTATTGTACGATCGCTATAGCTATCACCATCTGCTAGACTGTATGAACATTTGAAGCATGGAACATCCTCCTGCATGTCCTGCTCTTTCTGCCTCTGAGCACCATTCAGCGCTTCCTCATCTTCTTCCTGTTCTCCCCAGACTGTCTTGATTTAAACACCTGTTTTGGCACAGTGGAGACCAGGGTTGTCAGAAACACTGACTGCACTCCAAGTTCTTGTGTTGGGTACATTTGAGGCACCTGCCATAGCGTCGGGGGAGGCTAAAGTGGACAGCACTTGGCAATGAGAAAAAGCTGCGAAAGAGGTGATAAATGAACATGAAAAGTGATGTCCCTTGTCTGAAAGAGATAGCTCTTTGGTCAGAGAGAGCTCTTTGGAAGGACTCACTCTCCAGCTGCATATGACACTGTATGTGTGTCTGCCCTGAGACGAGCAGGAGGAGAAGGATCAAGTACCAGACCAAGCACGACACATCTATCTTTTCCAGCGCACCAGTGGTGCTCTCTGCACCTGCAAGCACAAAGCTGTCAAGAAAATCATCATGAGGATTATCCTTCCGGCTGTGGCATTCAGAGACATCCTGCACAACGTGTATGCAAAGCTGCATGACTGCATCGGCTGTGCCATTCACAGTAGGGTGTGGAGCAGCCCATCGTGGTCATGCCAAGGGTAAACCTAACCCGTGAATTAGATGTGTTTGGGACTGTTTGAATAAATAAAATATATTTTACAGGAAGAAAAAGGCAAATATAGCCTTTAGAAGAATGAGACTCTCAAAAGTAGCAGTAGAAATTATGCCAAAAGAAAAACTTCACGAAGTTTCAAGAGCCTGATCAGAATGAGAAAGCGGTGGCACTTTGAAGCACAAGGAAACTCAGTATGAACACCCTTTTAATCTTTCTCCCTGTTTCCTCGGGCAAAAGAAACACTGTTTGTCTGATAGCTTCTAAGCTCATACACTTAAGATCTCACCTTCACTAGAGGAAAAAGTTATAAAAAATAGCATCTCCTTATGTGAAACGCACCAAAATCAATCAGGGCAATTGGTAAGTTCTCAACCATTGTCTTATATTTACTCTGTTCATAAAACACCATAAGCTTCATTTTATACAAGCAGACTTTCTCTGCTTTGTTCAAAGAAATATCTTGACCAAGAAAATAAATTATGTTTGCAAAACAAGTAAATTATTTGAAATAATTACTTTTTAAGGGTGATAACCTAACTGTCATTAACTTTTTAATGCATTTGGAAATTCTCATGTTCTGACAGTACATAAAATCTGACACAAGCTCTCTGTAATACATTTTAATATTAATTTGAAAATGCAGTTTCTACAACTCGTGTACAATTTAGATTTAGCTAACACTGAAAAATAAAAAAGCAATCCCTTTTACCTCAGCCAGTGCAACTAAATCATATGTAAACTCTGCTTTCCCATGTTTTTAAAACCAGAAGTTGCCTCTTTAAAAATAATCGTCTCAGGACAAATATTTTGGGGCAGTGCAAAAAAAGAGAGGAAGAAAAATCATCTGAAAGCAATGCAGAAATGCAGGCAAATGAATTGCACAAAACAAGCAAATGATCCATATATGCAAATGAAAATTACAAATGAAGGTAGACTATTTTAGACAAATTGTTTGGTCTTGTAATATTACATACTAATTCAATAGAGTTTGCGCTATTTAGAGTCTGATACATGTTTTTGCAATTATGTACTTTGGGGTACCATGTTTATATTCATTTTACTCAAGGTAATCTCATTTAAACAGTGAAATGCCTTACTGTCTTTACAATAATGACATAATAGAATGTTTCAAGTTAGATTTCCCAATTTATCTTTTGTTACATGGTCTGACAAACTACAAACTCACAGTGCAAATGAGGCAATAGCTACAGTGATTCTAGCTACATGCTGTTTTGAAAGCATGACTTTTTTATACCTTTATTGAGATATATTAATGAAACATTAGTTTCATTAATGTGCCAGCTGAAGGTTTCATTAGCAGGTATCCATTGGAACAATCTTGCCGCTGTCACACTCCCACTTTTATCAAGGACAATTATTACAAAAAAGATGGTTCAAAACAAAGGTGATTCTTGAAGGGCTTCTCTGATGGAGTATTTATCAATTTATGGAGGCTATACTGCCTCTCTAGCAGCAGAATATAAGGTTATTGACACTCATGACCTCAAAGCTGATAAAGAAACCATGGTTCATGGTCAGTGAGTGCAAATAGAAGGGTAAGTATTAAATGAACTCTAAAAATCCCTTTCTTAGCTGCTTATCTGCTATGAGTACTTATTAACTTAGATGAGTGAACCTGTGTTTTCAGGACCACTATATTTATCCTTGACTTGTCCAATCTATAGATGAAAACAACCAATCATTTAAATACTACAGTTGGTTTAAAATGTTATAAAATCAGAATTGTTGGCAGATACGTGGGAGATATCCATTAGTTTTTCATAGCATTCACATCTATCATTCCTCTTTCAAACTCTTCATCCAGAACCAGCTCAGCTTTTGCCCACACACTACATCCACAGTCTCTGTTGCAATACAGTCAGCCTGCACTGCTGTACCCCAAGCACCGTCCTGTGTGATCTGGTGAAGCAAAAAGGAAGAGCCCAAACTGGAGATGTTTCCATTCTTCACCTGCGAGACCCAGCCAAAGACATAAAACACAGAATCACAGAATCATAGAATGGTTTGGTTGGAAGGTACCTTAAAGACCTTCCAATTCCAATCCCCCTGCCATGGGCAGGGACACCTTCCACTGGAAGGTATCCTTTGCTTCCTCTCTTCCTGGTAGGTTGCATTTGGTATCACTGAATACAAAACATACCAGACACTGGTGTAGAGTTGTTCCTCCGTGTCTATGCAGAAAGGCAGTTGGAGTCTGGAAAGCAGGTGTACCATCTTGACATGAAGGCCGTATCCATACCACAGGCAGGAAGGAAAATGAAATATCAAACTGCCTTCTGCATCACTCTGGATGAAGTCAAATCCAATTCCCCCCTTTTAAGGTCTTCCATAATGACAAGTTGGACTCTCTTTTTGACTTTAGTGTAATATAATGTCCCACAAAAGAAGAACAAAGTTTGGCAAGAGTATTAGGTAACAGCAGAGCCTGTTTTCTGTATCCCAGTTTTACATTTAGGCAGCTAATCTCCATGTTACTCTCACTGGAACAGATCCTGCCTGAACATCCTCATATTTCTGTCTTTGGCTCTTCCTGCCACTTTTTGTTATTGCCAAATTCATTAACCATTGTGTAGGCAAACATTCATGACTGACTTTGATGACCTGCATAAAACCCAAAGTATCCAAACATGCAAATCTGAGGAAGCTATATTTCTCTGAAGGCAGCTGAAGTGCCATAAGAGCATTGTGTGCATATTCACACAGTTGCAGGCAAAGGCAGCCAGTGTCTGCAGAGGTACTCTGCATCACGGAACTTTTCTCTGGGTACTTTCAGGGTGGAAGGCACCAGCAGAAGTGTGGGACGTGCAAGGCAGGCCGTGCACTTGCCTGTACCCTCATCAGTTTGTTACTGACCAGGTTTGGCTCTCATCACTGCCCCCTTATTATTTGTCAATCAATTTTGCATCCCTGTGTGTTCTTGTTCATGGCTTCCTTTTTTCCTTACTATCTGGGTTGGATTCTGCCTTGGTTTTTTTTTTTGGTGAAAAGGACCAGACAGCATTAAAGGAGCAGATTACCTCCTCCACATACACTTACACTAAGTTTTATCCTGAAAACAAAAAAATGGCTGCATGTAGTACACTGACCTGGTCCCCCCTGTCCGCTTTAGAGTAAGAAGAGAAGTTTCTGGGAATGGCCTTCTAAGAGGGAGGAGATTAAAGAACTTGAACATATGTACAGCAAGTGATGAAACACTGTTCTCAGGATTTAGACACCTCTTTTAAAGCTTGTTGGATTACACTATACCAGAAAATGTATTTTCTTTGGATAACATACGGAGCTATTTTCACTTTCAGCCTTATTGGCAATGTCTGAATATTTTCCTTTGTTAGAGACCTTCTTGCTTATAGAGCATAAGGACGTTCGATGTGTATGGGTCTGTTTCTTCTCTTACAAATATTGATTTTTTAATTACATCAGAGTATAGTGGTCTTATAGAAGGGATAAATACTAGTCTCTCAGGGACCAGTAAGCTCTAAATCAAGTTGTGTAAAAACCCCTTTTTCTCCCAGATACATTCACAACTGTTTGAGGGGAAGAGGGAAGGAAGAGTGTGAAGACGTTGGGACCAGGCAAGCCCAGACCAATCCACATACATTTTAACAAGCGAGATCCATGCATCTTTGATCCAAGCAGGGGCAGGATCATGGTTAGAAGAAAATTTTGCATTGCCTGCCTTCCACTACATTTCTACAAAGTGGAGTCATAAAGCACTACTGACCCATGTAGATTTGTACATCATCATATTCTCCAAAAGTGAAGTTGCACAGCAGCAATGAATCCAGATCGAAGTCTAGTGATAGCAGTGAGTCTGTCAGTTTCAGATTAAAAGATGCTGAGTTTAGTGCCTTAAATATGTACATCTGCCTTAGGCCCAGAAGCAGGTAACTCTCCTCCTTTGGTTGGCGGAAGTTACATTCTCATCTTCTAAGAAAATCATATGTTGAAGGCGGCTTTGATTACACCATTAAAATTCTACAGGCAGAGGTTTTTTCCATTAGATATCCTCTCTGTCTCCTTGGATACCGCCAGTCTATTTAGGTCTTACTCGTTTATATTCAGAAACACTTCCGGAACCCTAAGCTACAAACTCTCGCCAGTGTTGGGGAATTTTTATAGTATGCCTTGAGGTTAATTAAACACACATTTCTGCTTAAATATATAAAAAAAAAATAAACAATGCATTGGACAGAGTCTACTGCCATAAGCGGTTCTCTAAGCAGGCTGCAAAGATGCATCACCGATACACTCTTGCACCAGCACCAATCCTGCGACCTGATTAGCATGGGACACCTCAGCCCAGCCTTGGGTCCATCTCCAAGCCCAGCTCTGCTGCCCAAAGGTGGCCCCCAAGCACTCCAGGATGGCTAGAAGACAATGCTGTGGCTGTTTCTTATCTCATCACCAAGGGAAACCACCCCCTTACAGGGACTCATTCTTTTTTTTCCTGCTTCCAGACAGTTTAACCCCTTCTGCAGATGGGCCTTCTTGCCCTCAGTGCCAAATCATTCCTTGGTCACAAGTTATCACTGCTGAGCAGTTACAATTAGAATTTCCCCTTCACTAGCTATACAGCTTTAGCTCTTTCCTCTAGATTTCTGCCAGAAAAAGAGCTGCAAAAGCAACTACCTCTTTTTGTCCACTTTTAGCTTATCTTAGCAAAAAAATCAAGCTGGTCGTTGCAACCTCTGAAAATCCATAGTTCACTGGATCGGTACAAAATTCTAGGTGTTCCTAAATGTTGAATTTTTCATTCTATTTTTTGGGAGACAGTTTTTGTAACTATTGTCATGCAAGCATCAGTGTTAAAACCTGATTCCTCAATGGCTTCAATAAGCAAGCACCTTATATTGTTTCAGTCAGATTCAGGACAGGTGTTCAAGGGCAGAAAATATTATTAGAGAAAAGTTCAGAATAAATAGTGT